GATTCCTCAGTAAATGGAATGATTCACACTGGAAAGCGGTCAAACACCTACTTTGTTATATCCGTGGTACTTCTGATCTTTGTCTGACCTTCAACAAAGAGAATAGCAACCGCATTGCTTTAGGTTATGCAGATGCAGATTGGGGAGGAGATTTGGACACTAGAAGATCAACCACTGGATATGTTTTTAAAATTTATGGTGGAGTTGTTGCTTGGAAAAGTAGGAGGCAACCGACAGTTGCGCTTTCAACAACAGAAGCGGAATACATGGCAGCTTCAGATGCTACACGCCAAGCTGTATGGTTAAGACAACTGTTGGATGATTTGGGACTTGGACTTGGTCAAGAACCTTTGAAACTTCTCAATGATAATGCGGGAACTATAGCTCTTGCCAAGAATCCAGTTCATCATAACAAGACAAAACATATTGACCTGCGACATCATTATATCCGGGAGAAAGTTGAAGACAACACTGTCTCTCTGTCACATATTCCCTCAGCAGAGAATATGGCAGACTTGTTGACAAAGGCTCTTCCTTCAGATACATTTGATAGACTGAGGGAGTTATTAGGGGTATGTGGCAGATCTGCTTGAGTGGGGGTGTCGGAAATAGAGCAATCGGTAACTGCCACATTCTAGCGCTTTCGCTATTTCCGCTTATTCCCTCGTCTCATATCTAACCTCTGTCAATATTATACTCTTTATGCATTCTACTTCTACATCTGATAATTGTGTGTATAAGCAATGTAATTTGCTGCTTCTGCCCAGTACTTACTTAGCAGGAAGCCCAGAATGCGCCAGAACTGTACGAACTCCATTGAGAATTGTAAGATGAAGTTGTTCTGCACGTCCATTTTGTGTATGCGCATCTGGAGGTACTTGAATGTGTTGAATACCATGTGTTGCGCAAAAGTTCCTCATTTGGGCAGAACTGAACTCTCCACCATTGTCAGAGCGAAGTATTTTTACTTTAGTATTAAGTTGTCTTTCTACTTTTGCGATATGGTGTTGTAATTGCGTGAAAGCGTCTGATTTGTGTTTGAGAAAGTAAAGATGTACTTTTAGGGTGAAGTCATCATAACAAGACAGGAAGTTAAGCGCTCCACTAAGAGATGGAGTTCTTGCTGGTCCCCACAGATCAAGATGAATGACTTGCAGCGGTTCAGTAGCACGAATTTCGCTTGGAAATGATGGTAATCTCCTCCCATTTCCAACCACACCACTTCTGCAATGAAATCTTTTGCATGAGAGTTTGTAAATTCACATCCTAACCGTCCTGACCTTGACAAATTGATTAAAGCGCCAACATTGAGGTGTCCGAGGCGCTCGTGCCGGTCTTGTAGGTCAGTTGTGGTTGCAATATTTGCAGTAGGAGTACTTGCTTGTAGAAGATAAAGACGATTGTGTTTTTGCGCAGAGAGAAGATCTTGGTGATTCTTGCTGAAAGTTGCAATCCCCTTTCTGAAGTGCCATTCTGAATGTCCCCCATCTTCCGATGCGCCTACAGACAGCAAATTTCGGTCCAAACCAGGAACTAAAAGCGTTTTTAGAAACTCTACACCGTTTATGACTAGTGTACCACCTTGTGTACATGGTAGAATAGCAGAATTTCCAAATTTTACACGAGTTGGAGGGATTGAATGAATCAACAAAAGCGAGTTTTTTGTCATTACACATGTGGTGTGAAGCGCCAGAGTCCTCAACAAAGATTGACTTTGAACTTGCTGAGAAAGCAATGGGATAGTCTGCTGTTGCAACCGCTGTGATAAAAGCGCTAGCATCGCTTAGATATGCAATATCTTTCGGGGGTTCGGTGCGTTCCTTGTCTTCTTTAGTTGCAAAATTCGCGCTTTTTGAATTTTTCACTTTGACTTTACAATCTTCAGTGGAATGACCGGTTTTACAATGAGACGAACAGCATTTTGAGTGATCGGCTGGTAGAAATTGATCAAATTGTTTCTTTGGGTTGTTAAAAGTGTTGAACGTTGATTTAGAGCGAAATTTTGATTTTGCAAACATCCCAGTTGTGCTTTCTCCCTCAGTTTTCCTCCTACTCCATTCTGCTTGAACTCCAGCTTGAACTTCGCTAGAAGAAAGCAATTCCCTGAGCCAAAGCGTCTGTTTAAGCGTTGTGAACGATCCAGGACACGCCAATGTCATAGCGTAGGCCAACATCTTGTCTGAAAGATTTTCTCCCGCGGAATACAACTGAGCATGTGCACTGCGTTGCGCAGCAAGTGCTGGCATTGGATCCTCCCCTTCTAAAATTGTTTTTCGAGCCATTTCTTGAAAAAGCGCAGCTTGTCTAGCTCCAACAGCTGCAGAGTACTGTTTCTTGATCTCGTCCCAAAGCGATTTCGGGTTTGGTGATTTCCAGTCTTTAACACCGGATGGTAAAGCGGATGAGATTGTTTCTGAATGCGATTGAAAGATTATCGAATACGCCTTTACGCTTTTCAGACGATCTTTGATGTTTTCTCTATCTTTCAAGTCTTTAGAGGGTGGTTCGTTGTCGATATACGGTAGTAATCCCTTGCCCATAAGTGTGGTAGCGATATGAGCTTCCCATTGCGCATAATTTTCACTTCCTCTCAATTTTACGATTTTGACTTTTACCTCTGTGTCAGATGAATCGGACATTATGAAAAACGCAGATAACTTTGGAGGGAGTGATTGGAAGGTGACTGAAGTGTTTGTGATGGTAGACACAATGACAGCGGATATGTGGACCAAATAAGGCGACTGAAATGGCAGTATTGATTGAGATAATGGAAGAGCAATATTTTTCCAAATGTAAATCAGCTGAAGTTCAAACAACAAGGAATAGCCTCTCAGAGTGACTCAGCTGATTACGAGGTGCGCTTGGTATGTCCTAGGACTCAGAGGCGCACCACTGGGGTGTCCAGATTCGTCGACACCGCTGTATCTAAAGCGATACACAATGCACCTCCAACAATAAAGCAGGTCCGGTTTTAGGAGCAAGAAGAGAGTAATGTAAATGAATGAGAAGAGAAGCGAAAGTGTGGAAGTGATTTTGTCTTCACCTGCGCTTCTTCAGGACTTGCCTTCACTCCCAGCCGAGAGCGTTGATACCGATACACCAGAGGCTTGCCATAAAGCGTGGATCCGAGGAATAAGGAAAAAGCAAGTTTATGATTTTCTCTTCAACCGATGATTCAAACTTAGATTTGTTTTTTGATACGAATCATTGGCAGTTGCGAACAGGGGGTGGTGAAAAGATCAGGTCATTCTAATAAGAACTGATGGAATGAGGTGAAAAACGAGGGAATACGTGGAAATAGCGACAGAGCTCCAATGTGGCAGTTACCGATTGCTCTATTTCCGACACATCACGCATCATTCTTCCTACCTCACAATTTTACGATTTTGAGTCTTACTTCGGTGTCAGATGAATCGGACATTTTGAAAGATGCAGGTAAGTTTCGAAGGAGTGATCGGAATGTGACGAGATTATCGGTGATGGTGAGCGCAATGTGTTCCTATTGGTGTAGTAAAATTCAGCCCAATCGGTAGTAAAACGAGAAAGACGAAATTTGAGTTTGAAATTCTGATTGTGGTGTCAAATTTTTAAAATCTGGATAACTTTGGAATGACCGAAGCGACAATGCTGAGACTGACGTTGGTGATAAACGCAATTGTAGCTGATACGTGGGTAGAGCAGGAGCTTGAAAGTAGGAGTATTGGTCGAGATAATGCAAAAAGCAATATTTTGCAAAATATAAAATCAGTGAAGTTCAAACAACAAAGACTAGACTCTCAGAGTAACTTAGCTGATTGTGACGCGCGCTTGGTATGTCCTAGGGACTCAGGGGTGTGCCACTGGGGTGTCCAGATTCGTCTACACCGCTGTATCTAAAGCGAGACACAATGCACCTCCCACAATAAAGCAGGTCCAGTTTTAGGAATAGAGAGGAGTAATGAGCGAAAAAAGCAAAAAGTGTGGAAGGCATTTCAACTTTTCACCTGCCCTTCTGCAGGACTTGCCTTCACTCCCAGCCGAGCGCGTCATTACCAGAGGCTTGCTGTAAAGCGTGGATTTGAGGGATAAGAAAAGTGATAATTCAAAGGGTGGTGAGGGAATAAGGAAAAAGCAAGTTCTTAATTTGTGAAATATCACTTTTCTCAGAAATCCGTGATCCAACCTTCAATTTGCCTTTTGATATGATTAGGTGGTAGTTGCAGACAGGATCAGGTGAAGAGACTTGATAATTCCAATAAGAATTGATAGAATGGGGTTGAAAGCGAAATTTTGAAGTTGTAATGAAGTGATTGAAAATTTTGATTTTAATTTTTGATCTTCTGCTTTGACCGCTGCTCCGATTTACAATTTGATTTCAGATATAGATAGAACGCGGTGGGGCGGTGTAGGAAAGAAGGAGAGCAATGAGATTGGTGGTGAATTGGGGAAATGAGCTCAAGAAATCAAAAAGCTTCTCAAGATTCTTTCCTTTCCATGGAACTTTTCCAAATGATTGAAGCCTCTCAATGAGCCATCACCTGTAAGATGTGATTGAGTCTAAATTGTCTCCAATGTGAAAAGGAAAACCATGGATCAGAGGATGCAAGATAATTAGAAAGCAACCTATCCATCCTCTTCTCAGACTATATAGCCAGGAGATCATGGAGAAGGTTCTAGCAGAAGGCAAGTGTTAGACGGGAGCGGATAAAACCTGACAAGTATGCAAGAGACCACATGAAACTATATGTGACTACAACAACCCGGCTACTCAGGAGGAACTTCAGAGCCTCTTGGATCAAATCAGGTTCAGCTATGCATCCCGGCACCCAGATGATAGGTGCAAAGACGGAATGAAAGAGGATAGAAGGGAGTTATCTACCTGTCACGTTCTTACTAGTATGGTTCAGGGAGATCAATTCATAAGTTGCCTTCTTACGTAGTTTGCAGATTCATTTGTTCATCAAAACATTGCTACGCGGATGGCTTAGCGGGATACCTTATGATATATCTAGATTGACACAATGCATATCTTACTCTTCAAAGTAATTTCTGGGTTAGAGAGGTCATTGGTACTTGACATTGTAGATGCTCATTGATCTGATAGCCGTAGATCCTGCTTCTTATGTCTATCCTTTGTGTATAGCACATTTCTTCAGATTCTATGGATCATTTGTCTTATTGAGTAGGTCAGTATATACAGATCTTAGGAGATAGTGTAATGCATCATCTTGATCCGTGAATCGCTTCTCTGATTAACATTTGCAGACGTTTTTGGCACAAAGTGTCACAGGCGGGGTCTAATCCCCAAGGGATAGGCAAGGTGACTGAGATGGGGCTGAAACCCAATACTTGTCTCGGGCTCGTAGAGCTTGAGGAGTATACAGAGGGTGACAAGGGACTGAGGGGACTGAGGGAACTGAGACAACTGCAAGATGTCAGGCTGGATCTGACTGGAGTGACAAGTTGAGAATGAGATTCAACATGAGATTCATAGGTGGGGAACAACCTGTTTGGAGGGGGTTTATATCCACAGCAAAACAGGCTGAACTGCAAAACTACAACAATAAGCTACGGAAGAACTGCTAAACATATTTGCAATTCTCTTCAAGAGAATTGGTAATCCTGACAAGTGAAACTAAGAACAATAGGCAAAGGACCCAGGTGTCACGGTCCTGTCCTTGACAGACCTTGATGGATCAAAGACAGGTGGACTGCAACTGTTTAGTTAGCTTGGACAACAACGGTTAGTATGT